GAGCCATCCACCTGCATCCAGAGCCATCCACCTGCACCTGGATCCATCCACCTGCACCTGGATCCATCCACCTGCACCCAGAGCCATCCACCTGCACCCGGAGCTCCTCATGGGGCTCCAGAGGTGTGAACACACAGAGGAGCAAGGTGCAAAATGCTTCACAGCTCTGACACACGTTTGTCCCCTCACCTCGGTCCTTCCCATTCTGCAGCTTCCCTGTTTCTTCTTCCTCTTCTTCCTCTGCTTCAGAAAAAAAAGAAAAGAAGAAAAGCTGACACGAGACAGGTGAGTGAGAGGAGAGAGAGGATCATGGAATTGTTTGGGTTGGAAAAGCCCTCTCAGACCACTGAGTCCAACCATCCCCAGCACTGCCAGGCCACCACTAACCCACGTCCCCAAGTGCCACACTCACAGGGTTTTTAAATCCCTGCAGGGATGGATTTATCCACCACCTCCTTGGGCAGCCCCTTCCAGTGCTTGACAACCCTTTCCATGAAGAAATTCCTCCTGGATTTCACTGGTTTCATGGTGAGAGCTGGGGGTTTGTTATGTTTATCTGGGGATAAGCAGAGTGAGTTCATGGCCAGGCCCAGGTTTGCACAGCAGAGCACAAGCAGAAGGTCACATTCTTCCCCAGATGGTGGCTCTGATTTGTTTCAAGGAGACCTGTGTAAACAGGTGATGGTCATCCTGAGGGACACGGCACTTCTGCCTCCAGCTCGTGGTGGGAGAGCAAAGAAAGGGAGAAACCCTCCAATGAGAGGCACAACTGGAGAACCAGAGGTTTTTGGGATGGATCCGGTCAAAGGGACCTGATAAATGTGTCCTTTGTGGCTTTGGGAGCAGGATGGTGAGACATGGGGGTCACACAGCCCATGCCCACTCAGCAGTGGCTCCAGAGGGTCCCTAATGTGACCTCCAAGGAGATCAGGGACAAAACCAAATGCATTTGGAATAACCAGAGATGTGACTCGGAGCTCAGTGTTGGGTCTTGGACTTGCCTCCTGTGTGAAGAGGAGCACCCTGGGTCTTCAGGCTCAGACAGAGTAAAAATGGGACCAGTGTTCCCTCAGCAGCACAGGGAGCAATGGGATTACTGTGTGGATTGTTGTGTGGCACTTGGGGACGTGGGTCAGCAGTGGCCTCGGCAGTGCTGGGGGAACAGCTGGACTCAGTGGTCTTGGAGATATTCAACCTCAGTGATTTTGTGACTCTGAAGCTCTGTGACTCCAGGATTCTATCACAGAATCACAGAATCTCCTGAGCTGGGAGGGACCCCCAAGGATCATCCATCCAAGGATCATCTCTGCCCAGACACCCCAACAATCCCACCCTGTCCCTCAGAGCGTTGTCCAAACCCTCCCTGAGCTCTGGCAGCCTTGGGGCCGTGCCCATTCCCTGGGGAGCCTGGTCAGGGCCCAGCCACCCTCTGGGGGAAGAACCTTGTCCTGAGATCCCACCTGACCCTGCCCTGGCATCACTGCAGGAGAAGGCAGAGATCGAAACATCCCGGGAAGCCCCCAGAGGACGGGGTGACACCGCAGCGTCCCCCTCCCAAGGGAATCTGTTCCCTGGGCCAGAGCAGAGGCACCAGAGGCACAGGGAGGGTGGGAGGTGCAGGCACTGGTGCCTCCCAGACCCTCCCCACACACCTCCTGTGGCTGCACGGGGGAGCTGGGCCGGGGGAGGTGTCTGTTCCCACAGCTCACCTCCGGGACGGGATGTGTGAAATCCCGCTGGCTCCGTCAGCTGAGGATAACTCATGCTTTTCCTAATTTACACAAACGGCACCATTTCAGGGGAGCCTGCCTTGGTCCCTGCATCTCCTCGAGCAGGAGCCTGTCAGTGCCTCCATTTTCACTCCCCTCTCACTCCCCTGTGATCCACAAGGCTTTGCACATCCCTTGGTGGCCAAGGGAATGGCTGGAGCTGTGTCAGGGAGGTTTGGGCTGGATTTAAGGACAAGGTTCCTCCCCAGAGGGTGGTTGGCACTGACCAGGCTCCCCAGGGAATGGGCACGGCCCCAAGGCTGCCAGAGCTCAGGGAGGGTTTGGACATCGCTCTGAGGGACAGGGTGGGATTGTTGGGGTGTCTGGGCAGGGCCAGGGTTTGGAACTGGATGATCCTGGTGGGTCCAGCTCAGGATATCCCACAATTCCATGATTCTACAACACCTGCTCTGCTATGGAAAACAAAAAAACCAAAGACTGCAGACTGTGCTTTGGGCAGAGGTTTGTTCTCCGTGTTTCAGCCCCGGGGGAAGAGCTGAGGGTGATTTATGGGAGGAACAGGCGGCCCTGCCGCGGCGCTGGCGGTGCTGCTGTCAGCCATGGACAACTTTATTAACTCCCAGCTGCCTCCCCAGCCGGGACACGGGGCTGGGAGAGGGGGGATTTACTGCTGGGCAGTAAAATATCAGCCCTGTTTATCACTGTGACGGCTCCATCACGGGCAGAGTCCTGCAGGGTCTGTCACGGACCGGGAGGAGTTTGGGGGGGACACAAGTGTGGGTCCAGCACGAGGTGGGACAGGGACCAGGAGGGTCAGTCTGGACACAAAACACCTTCCTTCTTCCTTAACAGCCAAGGCAGCCCAGAAACAGAATCCCAGGAGCATTTAGGCTGGAAAAAAGCCCTCCTGGATCATCAAGTCCACCCTGTGACTGACTCCTGCCTTTTCAACCAGACCAGTGCCATGTCCAGTTGTTTCTTGGACACCTCCAGGGGTTGGGACTCCACCAGCTCCCTGGGCAGCCCCTTCCAGTGCCTGACCACCCTTTCCATGAAGAAATTCCTCCTGGAATAGGCTGCTGGAGCACGGAATGGTCACACCTCCATCACTGACAGGGCCCAAGGCCCACAGGACACATCCCTGGGTGACACAGGACCTGCTCTGGTCCCACCAGGGAGTTCAGCTCCCCTGGCCCAGGGAGGAGGCACAGAGGAAACAATTATCTGCTTTCCACATCGTTGTTCAATGACAAGGCATGTAATTGGCCTCCTGGACATTTTACAAATGTGGTTACAAGGATTCATGGCAGAGGGTCTCACCTGCTGCCCAAGTGTTGCAGGACTAAGCAGGAATTTGGGGACACTCACTCCAAAAATGTGCTCCAGCTTCTGGCAGTGTCATTAAGGAGCTCTGGCTTCCAGAAGTAGGCCTGGGGGGTGGCCCCTCTCCCAGGAGATGCTCTGGAAAAGCAGCTCCGTGCTGTGACCCACACTGGGATCAATGGGAGCAGCGGGGAGGGGAGGGGGGGTGAATCCATGAATCACCAGTGGTGCCACCAGCCAGGGCTGCACCCACAGGGTATTGCCCTCCCCACCAGGGATAAAATCTCTTCAAAAGGTGCTGGAGTTCTCAATGATACAACCATGGAATGACTGGGGTTGGAAAAGCCCTCCAAGATCACTGAGCCCACTCCCAGCACTGCCCAGGCCGAAGGTGTTGGCCATAAACATGATTTTTCACTGAGAACACAGACACATAATCCCACATTATGCTTTAGTTTTTAACAAAAATCCTCCAACCCGTGGCTCCCATCTCTCCTTTTCCTGTGCTGCCCAACCCACCCCTACCTGAGTGAAGCTCCTTCACCAGCGAGGACATGGTGTTGGTGATGGAGTCAGCTGCTACCAGCAGGTCATTGCGCAGGTTCCTCCTCGTACCTGGGGCAGAGCAGACACACAGAAATCAGGGGGCACCTGTGCCAGCTGCCACTGCCCCAACTCGTGCCCACCAGGTCTCCCTGGGGTGGTGCTGGTACACCCCCAGTGCCCCCAGAGCAGCAGAGGTGGAGGTTTGCCCTGGCACAGCCCAGCTCTGCCTCGTTCCCTGAGCACCTGCTTGGCTGAGCATGAGCTCAGCAAGAGCTGCCTCGTGCTCCTCCCTGTGACACGGCAGCACGAGGGCACAGACAGCCCCCCAGGACCTCATGGTGGGGTGGCTCATGGCAGCATGAGGGCACAGACAGCCCCCCAGGACCTCATGGTGGGGTGGCTCACCCTCCTCCCCCTCTGGGCAGAAGCACTCTTGAGATCACGGAGGTTTGAGTGGGATAAAAGCTGTTGGAATTGTCACCCTCCTGCGTGGTTGGAGGGAGGAATCCTCTTCCTTGCTGTCACACAGCTGGGGGTGTGACCCCGTGGGTGTCCCCACAGTGACACCGACCTGCCTGGACACTCCACGTGCTGGAGGGACCTGCTTGTCCTGCCAGTGACCCAAACATGGCCACGGCTGTGCCAAAATGTCCAGGACCAGCACGGGGACACAGCTGGCACCAGGACCACCAGACTGGCTGCTGCCACAACAGAGGTGGGTCAGGGATGGTGCTTGTTGCCTCTTGTGATGCTGGGAACACAGTGATCCTCTCTTGGATCGTGGAGGTGGCTGCCCCACCCCTGGAAGTGTTCAAGGCCAGGTTGGATGGGGTTTGGAGCAGCCTGGTCTCACGTCCCCCCTGTGGAACAGCTGGATAATGCTGTGACCCCCCCTGGACATGTCTGTGCAGCAGCCCCCGGAGCCCTCCGGGCTGGGACTTCCAATGATTTTATTACGTGCAAACATCAACGTTTTATCCTGTTTCCTGTGTTCTCCGCCGGCCTCGGATTTGCCTGATTTTGCGTGATTAATATGAAATAGCACTAATTGTGCAGACTGCCTTTCCGGAAGGATCGTTCCAGGAAACTTATTGCGGAGTCTGGCGACCACTTTTTTTTTTTTCTTGGAAGAGTTTTTCTAGTCATCGAATCAGCCACCACTGTGGTTATGAGGAGAGGAATGTCCACCTTTCTGGGGGGCAGCCGTGAATCCAAGAATTCCTATGGGATTGTTTTCTTCTCTGTTGAGATGATCAACAGCAGAACTGATTTTATAACTTGATGGTGGCCTCTGTATCCGAATATTTCACCCAGAAACCATCAGGATGTTTCGTTATAATAGTCATACTTTGTGATCTCCAAACGCCAGTCTTGGTAATCCTCCACCAAGTGGAAGATCAGGAGATCACCTACAGAGGAAACTTTTCTAACCTCAAAACCGCCCGATGAACGTCCCTGGGATCCAATCCTTTAAAGGTTTCCTGCTCTAGAATTTTCCACACTGATGGGGAAGCTCACAGATCCGTGCCCTGGGAGGAAAGATGAGCTGCTGGCTTCTCTGCCCACTCCAAGGTCACAGAAGAGGTGGAACAGCACCCAGAGCTTCACTCCCTTCTGCTCCTCTCTCCCACTGTCACATTTAATAAGAATCTGGCGGACATGCAGAAGTTAGCACAAACAATGTCAGTGTTTTTGTTAAAGTGGCCCATAAAATCCGTGTGCTGAGGGATTCCTGTGCATTTGCTGTCCCAGTCCCCACCACGCTGCCGGGACGTGGCTGCAGCACGTCAGCCCAGCCCTGAATAGTTTTCTACAACACCTGGTTCGTTGCAACACACATCTGAGGTGCTGTCAGGTGTTAAAAACCTGGAGAAACCACAAGTTTTCACTCTGGGCGATATCGGCAGGTCCTGACGAAGGAGCCTCGTTAGGGGAGAGGCAGCAACGAGCCTTTGATTAATCACCTCAGCTCTGGTGGCTGCAGACCCTGCAGGGAGGGATTTGCCTTGTCATGGCTTCTGCACCTTCCCAGGAAAAGGCAGATGGACACAGAGCAAATCAGGATGCCCGGGGAAGGCTGGAAAATGATGAGAGATCCAGTGTTTTTGTGTCCTGCCGTCGTCACTTGTTTGTCACCCCGAGCAGCAGATCAGTGAGCTCACAGTGCTGCTGCTCCACTTCACGTGTCCTGGGGACAGAAAGGGACCCTGCCCGGGGGGAAGGACAGGCAGCTGCCAGAGGAATCAGCGGGGAGCTCTCGGCTGCACCACCAAACTTGCCGTGGAGATGCAGAGGAGGCGACTGGACCACCCACAGCAACAGATGGAGCGCTCGCCTCTGGTATTTGGCATCCTGCCTCCCTGGAAATGCCTGCTCTGCTGCCGGTGCTGGGAGTGCTCAGGGATGAGGAGCTTCTTCCTACGACAGGGAGGAGGAAAAGGCACCTCCTTCTCCCAGGGGGGCTGTGGATCCTGGAGGGGATGTCCCCCGTCACCGAACACTCCCTGTGCCGAGGGCTCTGGGGCTGAGGGCTCCTGCCCCTCCCTGCAGCACCAGTTTAACACCAGTTCAGAGGGTCCACTGGCACCAGCTGAAAGTGTTCACTGGCACCCCTGTGCTCCTCTGCTGCCATTTCACAGCCTCTTCCCTCCCTCACCTTCTGCTGGCAGCAGCTCATTTAGGCAGCGGGGAAGATTGTTCCAGGTCATTCCAGGAGGATACATCCACTGAGCACCTGATAAATGCAAACTGCTATTTAAAATCTGTTTGGTTTGGAGATGTGGTGTCATTTCTGGGAGGTTTGTTTCCATGTTTGGTTTGTTTGGAGAGGGAGCCCATCCATCTGACAAAGGGATTTGATGCTTCTATTCACAATCTTCCCTCCCCGGAATGAGAAACCACCTCCAGCTCCGTGACTCCACATGAGGTGACCTGTCATCTTTTAAAGAAATAAACCACCCCTGCATCGAGGTGAGGGCTCTTGTTCACTGCATGGGACTGACCACGACTCCTGATACCCAGTGGGATTTCCCAGGAGGCACCACGAGGTCCACAGGAAGAATCACAGAGTCATTAAGGTTGGAAAAGACCTCTAAGACTGAGTCCAACTTCTCTTAGTTGCTGCCCACCCCTTGGCTCACATGTGGGTGAAATCCTCACCTGTGCTTTTGGGAGAGGTGGATTTTCTGTCCTTCCTTCTTTCACTGACACTGACAAGAACAACCAAGATGGGTGGATGTCCATTTTCAAAGATGTGATGTTTAGAAAGAACATCACAGATAAGGAAGACCAGGCCCTGCTGCTGTTTTTCTCACAGCTCTACACCCCAGGATGCTCCTGGAGTACTAAAGCTGAAGAGTTCTGCACCAAGATGGGTAAGAAAAGAGAAAAGAGCATTTAACCCCCAAGTGCCACCACTGAGAGATGCAGGGTGTGGGCACCCCTTCCAGCTGGGAGGGGTTTCCTTCACCAGGAGTGGAGCTGGAATAGGTAGGACTGCAGAATGACCAGTTTCTCCTCCTTTGCAGTGAAATGGTCCCTGAAGGGAACACAGTATTTGCCAAGTTCCTTGACACCAGACTGACAGTCCCATCCTCTCTTGCTGCCTCCACAGCCAAACCTCTTCGGTGTTTGTGGCAGAGGCAGCGCCTGCACCGAGCTCAGCAGGTGACCACCTCATCTGCTGGTCTTCACATTTTGGAGCCCCTGTGGGCTGACACAGCTGTGACACAGAAAACGTGGATTTTCCTGAAACGTGTGACTGTAAAACTTCTTCATGTTCAGCAGTGAGAGCAGCAGGTGAGCCTGAACTCCCACTGCCCACAGAGAGTGGGGGCTGAAAACATGTCTGGCTGCTGCTGCTGTTGGCTAAACACTCCGGGCTGGAGGGCTGCTTGTTTTCCTACTTTTGGTCATTAAACTGTTTTTTCCCCTCATGGTTCAGTCACCAGATTTGTAAATATGACCAGTTTGTAACGTTCAATTCTTAAACTACTTGTGGGCGTCACTCGCTGGGTTGGAAGATCCTTTCCTTGCAGGGAAGATCATCCTCACAGTAATGACTTCCTTAAGTTCAAAAGATTCAAGATATGCCCTCAAAGTCTTTGGGCTGGGGAACAGGAGAGGGGTTTGTAATTATTGTCTCAGTATGGTGAGTTATGTGTCTGTTGAACACAGAATCACAGAATCAGCTGGTTTGGAAGGGACCTCCGAGATCATCAAGTCCAACCCTTGATCCAACCCCGCTGTGGTTCCCAGCCCATGGCACTGATGCCACATCCAGTCTGTCCTTAAACACCTCCAGGGATGGAGAATCCACCACTTCCCTGGGCAGCCCATTCCAACGGCTGAGCACCCTCTCTGCAAAGAAATTCTTTCTAATCTCCAACCTAAACCTCCCCTGGCACAGTTGAAGGCCGAGCCCTCTTGTCTTGCTGATGGTTGCCTGGGAAAAGAGACCAACCCCCCCCCCCCGGCTCCCCCCTCCTGTCAGGGAGTTGCAGAGAGTGAGGAGGTCTCCCCTGAGCCTCCTCTTCTCCAGGCTGAACAGCCCCAGCTCCCTCAGCCTCTCCTCATGGGAATTGTGCTCCAGTCCCTTCCCCAGCCTCGTTGCTCTCCTCTGGACCTGCTCCAGCCCCTCAATGTCCTTCCTGAGCTGAGGGCCCAGAACTGGGCACAGCACTCCAGGGGTGGCCTCACCAGTGCTGAGTCCAGGGAATGCTTTGGCTTGGAAGGGACATTAAAGCCCATCCAGTCCCAACTCCTTCCAGAACACCTTTCACCAGCCCAGATTGCTCCAAACCCCCTCCAACCTGGCCTGGGACACTTCCAGGGATCCAGGGGCAGCCACAGCTAGGGTGGGCCTCCCCACCCTCCCAGGGAAGGATTTCTCCCCGATATCCGTGGTGCATCCCTGTCTCCCACGAGGACACAAGGTCGGACACGCCGTGGCTGTGCCCGGGGGGATGTTCAGACCCTCTCCTGTGCCCCGGGGGGGTGTTCAGACCCTCACCTTGTGTGAAGGCCTCCTGGACGTCTCCGACTCCGGCGAGTGCGTCCTGCGGGCCGTGGGTGGGGGTGGACCCGGCGGAGCTGGACCTGACGGGCATCGGGATGGGGCGGCCGTGGGTGGGCGAGGGCTGAGCCGATCCCGCCGCCTGCGCCTGCCGGGAGACACACACACCCCTCCCACGTTACACACCCGGCTCTTCTCTTTCTACCTCTCTCTTTCTCTTTTTTTTTTTTTTTTTTTTGGGTTCATGGTTAAAAAAAAATCTGTGAAAACAAACAAACAAACAAACAAACAAACAAACAAAAGGAACGTGCGAGGAAAGAGGCTCTTCCCCAAACCACACACTCTGGGTTTGAGTGATGACGTGATGCACGAGCTGGGGGTGCTGTGGGGGGACCTCGCCAGCACTTCGTTGATTTGTTTCTATGCATTTTAATAAATTTTGATATTTTCATGTGTTTTGTTTTCATAATTTCACGCATTTCGTGTTTTAAGCGTTTAAACACGTTACATGTGTATTTGATGCATTTTTACATATTTCATTTATTTTCGTAGGCACTGTGTATTTTTATATTTTATATATCTTTATATAACTTTACTTATTACTAATGTAGTGAATTTTAAGGTTTTATTTTAGGTTTTCTTCCAGCCCAACCCACCCCATCTCTGCTGTGCCACTCCAAGAGCCTCAAGAGCAGCTTTGCTCCAGGGGTGCCAGTCCCAGATACAGCTTCTGGTGCCCCCCCTACTCAATGGCCAGGGACAGCCCCAAGGGTCTGTCAGGTGCTGCCTACGGACTCAGATCCTACTGGATTTCACACCAAATCCCAAACAGATACAGAACCACTGAAGGCCCAGAGGACACTTGTGCAATGTTCACTCTGGAAAGCTCCCACTGGCTGCGAAGGAGTTTCTGCCCCAGCGAAGCCTCCAGAGCTCAGCCCAGGGTTGGGCACTGGTGTGATGGGCAGGGGAAGGAGAGGGACTGATGTGAGGAAAAGGGAAGTACAGGAGAGGACAGACATGGGCTTGTGGGCTCCGTGTTTTAGAAAAATATGATCTCAGCAGGCCCTCAGTGTGTGGTGCCCACGGGAGGGAACGAGGAGGACCCACCAAGTGATGCCCCTCGCTGGGTATTTAAGGACCTCTGCAAAGAGACTCACAGGATCCCAGAATGGTTTGGGTGGGAAGGGACCTTAAATGAATCCAGTTCCACCCCCTGCCATGGGCAGGGACACCTCCCACCAGCCCAGGGTGCTCCAAGCCCTGTCCAACCTGGCCTGAGACACTTCCAGGGATGGGGCAGGCACAGCTTCTCTGGGCAACCTGTGCCAGGGCCTCACCACCCTCCCAGCCAGGAATTCCTTCCCAATATCCCATCTATCCCTGCCCTCTGGAATTGGGAAGCCATTCCCTGTATCCTGTCCTTCCATGTCTTGTCCCCAGTCCCTCTCCAGCTCTCCTGGAGCCCCTTTAGGCCCTGGAAGGGGCTCTCAGCTCTCCCTGAAGCCTTCTCTTCTCCAGGTGAACCCTCCCAGCTCTCCCAACCTGACTCCCACTGTTCCTGGCTGTGCTGCCGGGGGTTCATGACGTATGACTGTATTTAATACTTATATTTATATTTATATTTAAGTGATGTCCCCACACTGCTGCCAAGCAAAGGCCACCTGCTCCTCATCAACCAGGCACTGAGGGCACGGAGCCTCCCGGCCCCTCGGAGCCACTGCTGGGGTTTGTGCCTTTGGTTTGTGGCCTCCTTTGAGCCTGTTCATGGTTTGCTCCCCGTGACGTGCAGCAGTTACCGGGGCAACACGGGATGGTGACACCGGCACGGCGGGGATGGTGACACCACCGGCGGGGATGGTGACACCACCGGCACCATGACCAACAGTGACACTGCCAGCACCCCTTCCCCTGGGGACAGTGCCAGCACCCTGGCCCATGGGGACAGTGCCAGCACCACGACCAGCAGTGACACTGCCAGCACCCCTTCCCCTGGGGACGGTGCCAGCACCACGACCAGCAGTGACACTGCCAGCACCCCTTCCCATGGGGACAGTGCCAGCACCATGACCAGCAGTGACACTGCCAGCACCCCGGCTGTGAGGACAGTGCCAGCACCACGACCAACAGTGACACTGCCAGCACCCCTTCCCCTGGGGACAGTGCCAGCACCCTGTTCATGGTGACGCTGACAGGACCCTGTGTAATAGTGACACTGACAGGACCCTGCATAACTGTGACACTGCTGGGACCTTGTGCAAGGTGACACCTCTGACACCCCGCACAGCAGTGACACCCTGCACAGCAGTGACACCCCCAGCACCCTGTGCAATGGTGACACCATCATCACCCTGT